ACGTCCGTTTACAACGCCTTAGTCATATCACTTAAGAAGCTCTCCATGTCTTCTTCAAGTGTAGAAGTCTCCTGGGATGCACTTCCTGGCTTCCTTTAAGACTGGTCCTTTCACTGAGCTTCCCGGAAGTATCACCACTTCACTACTCCAGTTACTTGGACATCCTTCTTGTGAAAGAAGAGTTTCTGTTTAAACAGGGGTTCCTCCAACTTGCTTCGTTACAAAAGATTTGTAGATGAAGTGCTTGAAGTTGTTGAAGAACGAATGGAACTATGCTTGAGTTGGAAATGAAAAGATGTGAGTAGATAATCTTTCCAACGTCCGCCTTCTCTTGTAGAAGATGATGAAGATTTAATCTCAAGGAGGATTTAGAATTTTAATGTTTGAATGTTACTGTATTTTCAATGTTGTAGCAAAGTTATCCGGTTGTTCTTCGTAGTGTATCTTTTATACTGGGGTTGTCTTCCCGTTGGAGGAGAAGGAGGACAACTGCATTAAATGCGCGAGCAGTTGACTTGACCAGTAGGACCCAACAAAGTTGGCGGGTTACTATTTTGGGATAAAGCTATCCTGACGTTGCGGCCAATCATCTGCATTTACTCTACAGAGTACGGGAGGCATTAAATGTGCATTTAATGCGTGTACTAGCTTTTCCGTTCAAGACTCCTAGCCGTTGAGGGAATCTTTAGTTGGTTTACCGGCTTGGTAAAATTCTCTAAGTGTCAGGCCTTCTGGTGTCTTCAGCCGAGAGTCGATCACAGAAGGTTTTGAGCACTTCTGTTGAAAAACGCTATCAGAGAGTCTTGAGGGTTTCTGTTGAAGAAATGTTCAACAGAGAACCAGGAGGGTTTCTGTCTGTGTAAAGGCTAACAGAGACCTAGAGGTCTTCTGTTCTGAAGCAGAGAGCCAAAGGTCCTCTGTTAGGACAAAGCCTATCAGAGGGTCTTCTGTCAGGAGGTCTTCTGTTCTGGAGGTCTTCTGTCAGTCGACTATTCTATGGAACTTTACAAGGAAAAATTTCTAATACATGAAATCTAAAGAAGGGGTACTCTAAAGTCCTAATTAATATAGCATCATCAAAATCTAATTACAATTATTCCTTACCGGAAGGACCCATCTGGATGTGGGTACCGACACATACTTAATATGTGTTGAAGGTCCGTCATGTGTGGTAACTGATACGATTGCTCCACACACATGGCGGGTAAGAAGACGAGCTGTGAGCAATAACGGGTGCACATAATGAGGAAAAGTACTGGCGTGTATACTCTCTACTGAGCAGAAAATCAAGAAATGCACACTTCAACACCGGCACACGCCAAGAACAAACAACAAGTGCTTATTCTGAGGGGGGTGTTTCTTTTTCACTCCTCCTGGTGCCAAACAATTTACCATGCAAGGATTCTCTCAAGGATGCAGATTTTGAGGGGGAGTTTTCAAAGTTCTCCTCCCATGCGCCAAACATTGTTGAATGCATCCTACTGAATGCTCCAGTTGAGGGGGAGCACGGAGAGAAAAGATCAAAGAAAAATGAGAGATAAGTCCTAATGACTTAGTAAACCCAACTAAGCCTACCCAAGGGACAAAGCCAAGAGTTAGTGAGTAGCTGAGTGAACACTATGAGAGTGAGGAAGGAGAAAGCTCAAGTGAGCAAGAGAACAATAATCACTGTCAAATCAGCTACATCTATTGTGCTATCAATTGAGAAAATTACTCCCAGTCACTCAAATACTCTGGACAATCCCCATAGGTTCAGGACTGAATTTATTCAGATCCGGGGTAGAAGTCGCTGCATTTTGTCCAAACGGTGCCATACCCTAGACCACTCATTTGTCTCCCAACAAACAAGTATTTAATCATATTTCACGGGGAACCTCATCTCTTATCATCGTCTCCTTCTGAGGCGACTGATACTGATTACAGTGGCCCACAGCCCCACGCCACTGAACATTCATTAATCACGTCGTGTCTAGTTCTCTCACTCCCAAATGTTTTGAATTTTCTAGGACACAGACACTTTTTAGAGTCAGGTGCAGGTCTTCATGACCCGCGAGAACTTCCATAGGGCTCATCTACTATAGATGAAGACCAATGACTGGAAGGAAGTCCTGCTATTACAGCATACAAATCACCAACATGTTCAGGCCATCGCTTTAGAGTGTATCTCTATAGTGATGATAACGGGTGTCTACACGATCCCAGGGGGCTACGTTATCTTTGTTGATCTTTATGATCATGCCATAACAACCAGAGTGACATATACTTTGGATGTCTCACAATAACTGGTTGGAAGTCCTGTTAGAGCTTTAATGTTTCTATCATTTTTTACAGGCCACAAATCAGTCTTTACATTGATGTTGTGTTAACGGAAACATCTCAGTATATCCGGTTTTTATCATTTAACCTTTCTTTTTCTTTTTCTTTTTTGTTACACAGAATAAAAGAATAGAGGCATGACGCCTCGATTCATCGGATCATCATGAGGGGGAGAGTGGTCCGCATGCTGCTTACTCTAATAAATCATTCTTGGACACTTCTCCTCCAACACAAAAAACGACGACTCTCTATTCTCTCAAAGCATCAACTACAAAGTCAGCTTCACATCAAATGGTCAGCTACGCTCACAAGTCAATCATCATTTTCCGTTGTGCAACCGACTGGCTCTCCTCAAAAGCATTCATTTCAAATAGTCAAAAAGACTACATTGTGGAGGAGATAAAGTCGAAATCCCATGTGCGCGAGATTGAAAAAAAAGGTGAAATCCGAAATCCTAAGGAAGGAGTGGTTCACCTTTGTAATCAACAATCTGATAGTCGAGAGCTCCCCTCTTGTCCTCCACAATGTAGTCTTTTTGAGCAATCCCACACCTAAACTCATTGGGAACTTTTGAGCCTATATATATGAACCACTCCTTCCTTAGTATTAAAAGGTGAAGGAGAAGAGGGGAGCTCTCGCGCACATGGGATTTCGGATTTCAGCTCTCGAGAACCTGGACAATCTCGCGATTTTGCACCTCTCACACTTGAATATTTCGATACACAATCTCGAGATCTTGTTCCTGGACAATCTCGCACTTGAAGATTTCGATACCTGAGATTTCGAAACTAAACTTCAACAACCTGCTCTTCTTCGCAAAAACCTGCAACTCGCGATCTCAAAATTCGAAATTTTAAAAACGAAATTTCACCCTTCTTTATCTCAAACCGTTGATCAAAACCTTCCAACAAACGCAGAAAAACGTCCAAACCAGGTTCATCAACCAAAAAATACCAGAAAAATAGTTTTTCGAAAAACCTTATTCACCGTCAATGGTAGCTTCGAAAAATGCAGAAAATATTCAATCGATTTCACATTCGGATCTGATACCAAATGATAGTCCCAAAGTCAATCAACAATCATACAATAATATAGAAGAAGAGAATCACAAAATGATAGCGATATGTGTTGAACGATGAACTCCCTCTTCCTTATACCGTATAAGCTCTCAGAAAGATATGAGCATTAATGTCCGTGAGACTTGTGAGACTTATGTAAGAGTTAGAGTTTGCTTAAGTTAGCATCCTTTTATACATAAGGATGTCTAACTTAAGGCTTACAAGTGGGCTAATTGGCTGAAATACATTTGTGGCCCATATCACACATTTAACTAATAACTACACAAATACAAAGATATTTAATTAGATTGGACACCATAAAATATTCCCAACAGGGTACCCCTGCTGAAAAATCAAATCGGATCAATCCGGGAACAAAGCAACATGCAGGGAAGATTTTGGCCATGTTCAAGTGTCATACCCGATCGGGTAGCCGACACACCCGGTTGGGTATGCATGACGTTTTTAGCTTCTAGGAAGCTTCTGAGTGTACCCGATCGGGAGCCTTCTATACCTGATCGGGTACACACCCCTGCATACTCCATTTCCCTATAAATACATCCCTTTCCTTCCCACAAAAAACCACCAATTCACATATACTTCTTAGCTCAGTTTAGACAGCTCTTTCTTTATATTTTCTTCATGTTTAGTCTCCAAATGAGGAGCTAAACTCTTCCATCTTGGTTTTGCTACTTTGAAGCTTAATGAATTTGTAAGTTGTGAGTTATTTTCTTTAATCTTCTTCCTTGAATATTAATTATTTCCTATTCATATACCATATTAATATTTTGAGCATTACTTAAAAGATGAACTAGTTTTGTTTCATATATTAATTATTACTAGAATCAATCAATTAATACGATTGTTATTAATTCGGTTCTTTCAACGGTAGTAAAACTTGGATTATTAATGCATGTGTGTCATGGTTAATAATCTAAGGGGAATTAATTATATTTCTTAAACGAATAAACCGCTTGTGTTGACGTTATCTGTAACACTCCTAAATTTAATAAAAAGAATTTAATATTAAGTAACATGTGATTCCTGCTAAATATTTTCTTAGCTTATGCTTCGGGGCGAATCATCTTTGAAGGAGGGTAGAGTGTGATACCCCGAAAAATTTAAACATAAAAATAAAATAAAATAAAAGACATCAGATAAAGTGAAGCAAATAAAAATGAACATTAACTAAAGTTTCATAAATGATGTTTTGTGACAAGTGATAATTATACATATGACATAAATAATAAAAATGGCGCTTTAAGAATTTTAAGTCTAAAGGTATCGATTATTATTAACATACAAACGTACACTATAAAACTAATAAAAATGATATATAGACTTTAGAGAGCCAGTGTATACTCGGTATATACAAATACACACATATATAATAACAATAATGGAGATATAATTCATCTAACATGATTGATTGAAATATAATAAAGTACATAAACATAAGAGTAGTATACATATAGGAACACGTAATATATAATGCACAGGAACAGACTAAATAATCTAACAACTAAATAATAATACTACTACAAAACAAATAACAATAATAATGTAATAGTACTGATTGGCCGCCCAAACTATCCTGCCATTAAAGAATTGCATGTAAACAAATTAGAGAACTATTAAGCAGCAGTACAACGTCGGCCGGCCATACTCCTACTTGTCATATAATCGGCTAATCATGCGTCAGAGTACCGAGAAGTTTCAGCTGAGAAGTATAAATAGCGACGATGGGTTAAGAGACTCTGCACACAAACTACCTGTGTATGTTTATATATACTTATACTTCGTATATAAATATACTCCCCGTACGTATATAATTATATATTCGGTGGCAAGTATATACACCCAAACTAGAGCTAAAAACATCGCAAACGTAGTCTCTGAGAGTAGGGGAGAAGAAATGCGTAGTTGTTGAGAGGAAAGAAGATCACCGGAGGAAGAAAAAGCTCGCCGGAGTTCGCCGGACTGTTCTATTTCACGCCCAAGGAGCAACGTTGTTCTGCCCAGTGCCCACCCTCACGACCTGAGTTGCTGGAGAGTAGAAGGAGTGATTGAGGATCACTGACACCAGGAAAAGAACACCGCCGGAGCCGCTACCAGTCTACCAACCACGACGCACGTTTGTTCCACGAAGAAGAAGCACAGTACGTGGTTTTTGCATTCTTCCGTTTTGGTCTTTTGCTGTTTTAAAAAGAAATTGGGCTGGGTTTATTATTTAATACTTGGGCTGTTTAAATTAAAAATTGGGCCTCCGAATTTAGTAATAAAATAACTAGAATAGTCGATATGAGCCGTCTAATTTAGGCTGTAGATTATTAATAACAGTAATGATATTAATAATAACTATAACAAAAGTAAAATATATATATATATATATATATATATATATATATAACGATAGCAGTAATAGTAATATAAAAAAATGTAGTGTTAATAAGGATAATGATAATTGGGTTTGAGGAATCTTTAATACGGAGTATAAGTTATAGTGGATAATATTCTCTCTTAGTAAATTTATCATTTTTTTAGAAAGGATAACTAGTTATATACAGAATTTATAAAAGAAAAGAACTAATAATGGAAAGGTTATATATAAACTAACCAAATTTTGTAATCGGGCCTTTTATAATTATTTAGTATGACTATTTGGATACCTTAATTTAGATTAGAAATTAATTATTAATAAGGATCTAACAAACACCAGATGGGCCGATTAAACTAATTAATGAAATTAGTAAAATAACTAACAGTGGTTTATTTGACTCGATAGTAATATTATAATTTAAGGGTCATTGAATTATAACTTGATCATTAGATTAATTATTAAAATTGAATGTCTAAATTATTCTTTTAGTGGCACTAGATTAAACGAAATTAATAGTGATTGATAAATCTTGATTTTGTAAAAAAAAGAATTTTTAGGCTAGAAATTCAAATTAAAATAGTATGTGATTAAAAACGAAAAATTAAATTAAATTAAGTGAATTATTATAACTCCATTAATTAATTTAGATAAAATAATGAAAATGGATTAAGTTACTTAATAAAAAGTCTACTTATTAATCTTAAGTTTATTAACAAGGTAGGAAATGGAGTAGATTAATAAGAATACAATAATTATTAATCTTAGAACTTTACGTTATTAAAGGTGACTTTGAAGAGGATCAAGATTTAGTTACAAGTAAAGATTCCTGAAAATTAAGGTAAGTTTCTCTGCCAATCCAAAATTGTTTCCTCGTATTATATGCTTATTATGCATTACGTGATTAAGTGTGAATTTTGAATTATGTGTATGAGATTTTGAGGAATACAAATTAAGAGTACTTTTTGGGGTATTAAATATTTTTAAATACCTTTGCGATTACTTAGAGAGATTGAGGAATATTTTTAGAAGTATATCTAAAGCCAAGATAAAATTTACGTTTTCATAAGAGGTGAGCACCGCGGGAGAAATCCGCGGTGTCGGTTTTCCACATCCGGATAAATGTGGAGGGTGATTAGAGGTACTACTACTAAGAAGTACAGTTTGAGTTTCAAGTGACATTTGGATCTACGATCTATCCCTTTTAAGAAGAAGTTATAGTAGTAGTCCCTAATCATTCAAGAATTTTAAAGGTGGGGTAGTTGGTAGAGTGAGTCCCGACTACTCGGGACGACTTACTACTCGGAGGGCTTGGAATCCCTTTTTGGGGGTGTGCACACTTAAGGTAGTCGTTTCGTTTCCATTAGCAGTTGTGGTACCGGCAAAAGTCCCGGGGTGGCCGTACATAATAACGTAACCACTGGGCTCAACCAGAGTGTTGAGCACCGCCCTTCTAAATTACTAGAAAGATAGAGAAGAGGTGAATTTTGAGAAATCCTAAGAGAAGAGTTACTATTGTATTATCAAAGAAAAGTTGAGGACTTTAGTAAAGAAGTGATTTTGATAAGAAAATTAAAGAGAAAAGTATTTCGGTGGAGTGAGTTATTTTTTTATATAATAATATATAAAAATCTATTTTAGTCAAACCTGATTATTTTACGGGGTTGGGTAGTACTTACTTAGCTCTAAAGCTAATTTTTGCTTCCTTTTCTTTGTTTTGTTTTCTGCACTTTACTTGTGCAGGTAATGATGTCTATGTTGATTGATGATTGCATGCGCCCGAGAGCGGTCAAGAGATGCCTTAGTAAAACTTAGACAAGAATAAACATTTTAGTTATGTCGAATATTTGTTTTATTTTGTTTTATTTCGAGATTGCCTGTGCATCCGGTTAAGAGATGACCGGATGTGGCGGTAACACCCATTTCCCTGTTAATGTTATTTCGGTTGCCAAACTTTTTACTTTAGTTTGAATGAATAAAGTAAGTTTATTATTAATAAATCATCATTTCAAGTATTATTTTGGGAGGGAAATTTGGGGGTGTTACAAATTGTTATCAGAGCCTTAAGTTTTCCAAAGGGATTAGGACATGAGGTAATAAGTCGTAGGGAGAAGTTATGTCACCAAGACGATAACAAGTCTAAGCTAGTTGGTTTTTAATTGAGCCTTGCGCTCGTCCAACTAACTGGGAATTTCTCCTTGTGCTGAAACTTCATTGTTCAAAACCTTTAACGAAAACTATGGTTTCGAAGCGGGGATTTTCAAAATATTTTCGTAAAAAAAAAGGGAGAATGAATATACTAGGCAAAAAGGCCTTTCTAGGAACGCGGTGATGAGGAGAAACTTTTGCGATATTATTGAGTTGTAAAATGCATGAGATTCGTGCCTATGTGAAGTATGTGGATATGTTATCCTCTATATGTATTTATTTGTCATAAGAAGTTGAGTTAGTAGAAAACTTACATAACATGGAAGCCTTATGAATACCTTAGTACTTAGTACTCATTTTCTTTATTAAGAATCATGCCTCCAAGGAGAAACCCTCAGACAACCCCAACCGTGGGAGAGCTTGCCCAAACTGTCCAACAAATGGCACAACTCATCGGAGCGGCTCAATCCTCGAACCGTGGGATCGACTACGCAACAAGAGTAGCCGGGCGGAACCCTCCAAAATATCTGGGCGAAGAAGACCATCTTATTTTGGAGGACTGGATTCGCACCTTCGACAAACTCTTTGACTCACTTAACTGCTCGTTGGAGCAAAGAGTGAGCATTGCGGTGTACTACCTGCACCAAGAAGCGGATCACTGGTGGGCCGCCTCCGGACCAGCACTTCTCGAGCAACCGGGCTTTGACTGGGAGGACTTCTGTAGCACCGTCCCCAAGCATATTTACTTTTAGTAAATTATGTAATAAACCTTGAAAGATGATTTATGAATTTACGTAATTGTTAAATTTTGTTATTTCTTTTACGTGAATAGAAAATTGCATGTGGGGCCCACAATGGGAGCGGGGGCCGCCCGATAATTTCCGAACCACATGTTATATTCATCTTGGTCTAGATGACATCTATATGGTGGTAGATATTTTAATTAGGCCACAAGAAGGGCATGGAGTTGACCGGTGGGTCAAACGGGGCCCAATTACCGGCATTGGCAAATTAATGGATAACAGCCCGAAATGAGTTTCGGAGGCTCCTAAATTAATGTTGGGGAATGTATATCTATTCTAAAGGCCCATAATTATTGGAAACGCGTGATATATTTTATCCGGCACGATAAAATAAAATATGACTAAAACAGTCCAAAAAATACAACTTTCGGGGCCGATTATACACATCGGGGCATAAGGGGATGACCTCCCACATGAGTGGGAGCCACCCCACGACCCAATGTGCTGCAAATGACAAGGAAGCAGCTGGAGGGGGTGTACCTAGTAGGTGGGAAGTCTCCAAGAGACAAAACCCATACCCACCATTACCCTACTCCCTTATTTTGTGGGTTGACTTAGGTGGATGGTGTTAATCACTCATCCTAGCATCTCCTCAACCATCCACTCGGCCAAGGCAAAGAGAGAAGCTCTAGGGAAGCCTCCTCTCATAGTCCAAGCAGCAAGGAAGAGAATCCAAAGAGAAGAGGGTTGTTTTTGAGGTAAGAACTCAATAAACAATCTTTAACTAGTTTTATTATTGTATGATTTTTAAGAAATCATATGGTGGATTAAACCATGAGTTCTACACGTTTAAAAGTGTAGAATATTGATATAAAGTGGTGGTAATTAACTTAGGAGGGTTGGCAAATCGATAGGAGTCGAAATCGCCGGAAACCGCCACTTCAAAGGAGCTAGTCGCAGTTGCAGACCACGAAAGCCGCCCGGCTTTTGCCCAAGCAGTCCAGTTTTGCCTTTCAATCGGCTTAGAACGGGGATTGATCGAGGGGCGTAACAAAGGCAACTATTGTAGCACATCACGAGGTGAGGATGGCTGACTATATTGCTTATAATTAGTGAGTTAATTTCATAAGAATGCCTAAAGTAATTAGATGGGATTTTCATGGATTATTAATGACTAATAATGCCTAAATGAAAATAATATGGAAATGAGTAAGTGAAGCATGATATACAAATTTAGAATAATTGTGTATGATTATGCGAAATGAATGGAACGGCATGTTAATGGAATTACTATGATGACATCGTGATAAAATATACTTTACTACATGTATGAAATTCATGAATGGATTAAAGTGATATTTTTGATATTGAGATCAACTATACTTGGGTTGAGAAATCAATGGAAATGAAATGCAAATTGGGAAATAGGAACTTGGCATGTTCTAAGGTTATCCAATTAGTATCAAAATACTAGTCGTGGAAGTAATATAAATAAATGATGAAACAAATCCTAAGAGGTAGGATTGTGAATAGATATGCCTTAAGTAGTCTCAAGAGATACTTAAGGATGAATGGTATGAACACTAAGGTGTGATAGGGGTAGGCCTAAAGGCCACCTACGGGAATTGATTCTAGGCATAGGACTTGCTTGAGAATTTGATTATGAGAATAATTAGAGTTGGACTCTAGGATGACATGGAGATGTAGTTGGGCCGAGCCCATGCCATGTAATATGATTAGCATGGAAACGTAGTTGGGCCGAGCCCTTGCCATGTATATGTGACCTCCGTGGAAACGTAGTTGGGCCGAGCCCTTGCCACGAAGTTATGGTTGGTATGGAAACGTAGTTGGGCCGAGCCCTTGCCATACAAATTTTGATATGATATATTGAGCTAGAGGATTGTATAGAGATGTAGTTGGGCCAAGCCCATGCTATACAATTGGGGCTCGATGGGACCCCACGGGGTTATCGTGACTTGCGGTCACGGGGGAATGGAAAAGATGAATTCTAAATGAGTATGGGCCTACGGGCCGACTACTTGACTTTATGTAAAGTAAGTACAGTTAAAAGTAAAAAGGGTAACCGAGGGTTATGGCCTATAATATAATAGTACCCTAAGTTGAGGGTCTTGGAAATTAAAACGTTGATTATACTTAGTATAGTTGCTATTGTACTTGTCAAATATTTCCAAGTACTGACCTCCCCTTCACGGGGGAGGCCACCTCACAGTTTCAGGTAGGACTTGAAGGTTGCTACCGGTGCCCGTTGCTCGGGATATTCAAAGGAGAAGACGTGGTTCGTGCTTCTTCTGTTTTTCTGATTTCAAAACAATCATAATAATGCTCATGGATATTAGTTTGAATAACTATTTGGGGCTTGCATGCCCATGGTTGCCAAAGTGTGGCTAAGACACTTATATTAAATGCTTCCGCTGTTTTAAATGAATGATTTACATTATGTTTGTTTATGGATGTACTATGTGTGAATGATATTCATGACGCCTTGTATAGTATGGATGAGTTGGACTGCGGTTGACTATTCGTACTGTACGGCGGGTTGTTGACGTGTCCGGCTAGGTCCGGGGCGTGACAATTTAATTGGTATCAGAGCCTTAGTCCGTAAACGTCATAATGAAGCTTCAAAATGCTTTTTGAAAATGAAAGTGAAAACCATGAGCATAAAGTTTTGTACTTATAGAACTTTTGGTACTTGAGTTGCAATGTCTCTAATTGTTAAGATGGTACCCTTAGCAATTGGTATGGCGGTGATTTGAGCCAAAGGATGTCTTTAAGTACCTATCCGTCAATTGACATTTGATACGAGACTAATGACTCATTCTCAATTTCTTTCAGAAATGGAACGTGCCGGGAAAGTAACTAGGAGAAACCCGACTGGCCGAGCACCGGGAGGATCCGTGCAAGGCAGTAGAGGGGATTCTAGGGTGTCCAGAGGACAGGGCCGTGGAGGCCAAGATCGGACCGTGAGTGACAGTTATGTGGAAACAGTCAACGAGAACGAGTCATATGAGTCCGAGGAGGATTCGACGTATCGACCGGGAACTGAGCCGGTTGAGACCCCATATGATGGGGAGTATGATGAGGACAGCGAGGGGAGCGACGATGACGACGCTCTAGAAAGGATGGAGGAACTACTCCGTCAATTTCAGCAAGATCGCCAAAGGCGCCGGGCAAGGCGTGCTTTGGGAGGGGCTTCAAGGAGAGGGAGCCATGCAGGTTCTAGGGGACATGTGGAGTCCCGAGTAGATCGAGGTGTCGAGGTCCCGATAATAAGGATCTCGAAGTACCTCAAAGAAGCAAGAGATTTGGGGTGTAAACCGTTCGATGGAACGGGAGATATATCCGTTGCGGCGGAGTGGATCAAGCGGTTCAATGAAGCGGCCCTTGATATGCAGCTGCCGCCAAACATGAAGATGAGAGTAGCAACAAGGTTGCTAGAGGGGATGGCGTCCACATGGTGGGACGGTGTCAAGGGGAAGTACGGTGAGGCCGTAACTTGGGTGAATTTCCGACAGGAATTCTTCAACCAATACTACTCCGACTTCGAGGTGAACTTGAAGAGGAGAGAATACACCAACTTGACCCAAGGAGGCAAGTATACCGTGAGGCAACTTGAGCACAAGTTCAGGGAGCTCGCGGAGTTCATACCGGAGTATGCTTGTGATGAGAACCGGATGGTGAATCACTTTTGGGATGCTTTAGACTTAGACGTGCGTGAACGGGCAACACAATTGCCTAACATGACGTTTAGTCAAGTGGTGGAGCAAGGCCTGAAAGGGGAGAAGGAATGGGAAGAAAGAAAGCTGAAAAACGTCGAGGAGGCGAAGAAGAGGAAATGGGAGAACACCGGCCCCCAAGGTTCTAGCAAGAAGGGGAACCACGGGGGAGGTGAATCTTTCAGAACGCCCGCACCACCATCCAGGGGAAACCAAGGCCCAGGAGGGCAAGGCTCAAGGTCGCAAGGCTCGGGCATTAGCAGGTGCAATAACTGCAAGAGGAACCACACGGGCAAGTGCCGTGATCCCCCTAGGTGCTACCAATGCGGGGAGGCGGGACACTTGAGATCAAACTGCCCACAACTTGGGCGAGCCACGGGTGCAGGACCTAGCAGCGGAACTACGGCAAGTAGGAACCGAGCAGGGGCACCTCACGCGAGCACGGCGCACGGAGGGCCAAGTACAAGTAACGCGCCATCCGTGAACCAAGGCAAGACCCAGGCTAGGGTCTATGCGATGACGGAGGCGGACGCACGTGCTAACCCGGACTCCGTGGCGGGTAAGATCCTAAACCCATGTTATTAACTCCATTGTATGCAGTAGGAGTGCTTGTAATGTGCAAAATTTGTAACCCCGACGGTTTGGTCGGGATTGTAGGGGAAAGGGGAGGAAGAATCCCCGCCCTGGGCGAATGCCGCCCGGCATTTGACGAAAGCCGCCCGGCTTTCGTCTCGATTTATTGGGAAAACACTACGGCGATGAATGCCGGCCGGTTTCCACCAAAAACCGCCCGGCTTTCGTCAACATTTAATCTGGAAATTTCTCGCAACTAAAAACCAACCTGCTTTTGTAAAGACCGGCCGGCTTTCATAAATGCCTGACCTGGGGAAATCTTTCGCAGCTGAAAGCCGCCCGGCTTTGGCGAAAGCCGCCCGGCTTTCGTTGGGCCTGGGGATTTCTGCGCTGCTGAAACCGGCCGGCTTTGAGATCATTTCCTGAATAAATCTGCGGCGACGAAAACCGGCCGGCTTTCGTGAAAAGCGGCCGGCTTTCACCTGGTTTCATCCTAGAGCGGTTCTAAAAGTTAGAAACCAGGGAATTTTCGGACGGGTGTCAAACGGACCCCACCCGAACCGCGACCAACATACTCTACGACTTAAGAAACAAGCCTATTAATTAGATAGTGTGTTATACATTACTTATGAATGTAGGAACACTAAAGATAAACGGGAGAGACGCAAGGATCCTTTTTGATACCGGGGCGCAACGATCATTTGTGACTGAGGCGTTCGCCAGCGGATTCAACGGACCACTTGTACCGATGACTCAAACCCTTTTGGTGTCCACGCCTCTAGGGGATGATATCGAAAGAGATAGCCACTATCCATCGTGTGAGGTGGAGGTGGAGGGACAGAACTTGACGTGTGATTTCGTACCGCTGAGTATGATCGAGTTTGATGCAATCCTCGGGATGGATTGGCTTGAGAAACATCATGCTAGGGTCGATTGCTACACGAAGATTCTTGAACTCGAAGGCAGTGAAGGGTTGACCTTACGCTTAGAGGGTGATAGAGGCAAATCAAACAGTTGTATCATATCCGCCGTGAGGGCGAGGAATATGATGAGAAAGGGATGCCACGCATACCTAGCGTATGTGGTGGACAAAACCAAAGAAGAGATAGACATCAATGATGTGAGAGTTGTGTGCAAGTACCCGGATGTCTTCCCAAAAGACTTGCCGGGACTTCCACCCGATAGGGAGATTGAGTTCGTGATCGAGGTTGAACTCGGCACCAAACCAATCTCTATACCGCCATACAGAATGGCACCCGCTGAACTTAACGAATTGAAAACCCAATTGCAAGGACTATTGGATAACGGTTTCATAAGGCCGAGTCACTCTCCGTGGGGAGCACCGGTCCTTTTCGTGAAAAAGAAAGATGGAACACTTCGAATGTGCATTGACTATCGTCAACTGAACAAGGTCACAATCAAGAATAGGTATCCCTTTCCTAGGATTGATGACTTGTTTGATCAGCTCCGAGGAGCGACGGTGTTTTCGAATATTGACTTGAGGTCGGGGTACCACCAACTTAAGATAAAGGAGGATGACATACCGAAGAGTGCATTCCGCACGAGGTATGGTCATTTCGAATTCCTAGTGATGTCATTCGGGCTAACCAACGCTCCGGCGGCATTTATGGACTTGATGAACCGAGTATTTCATAAATACTTGGATCGGTTTGTGATTGTGTTCATTGATGACATCTTGATTTACTCGAAGAGTGAATAAGAGCATGAAGAGCACTTGATACTTGTTCTTGAGACACTACGGGAGAAGCAACTCTATGCCAAGTTTTCCAAATGTGAATTTTGGCTAAGGGAGATTGGCTTTCTCGGGCACGTGGTCTCAGGATCAGGGATTGCCGTAGATAACAAGAAGATTGAGGCCATTACTGAATGGGAGATGCCAAAGAGTGTCAAGGAAATTCGTAGCTTCCTTGGATTGGCGGGGTACTACCGAAAATTTGTGGAGAGGTTCTCAGTTTTGGCATCGCCATTGACAAAGCTCACTCGAAAGGGGGCCAAGTTCGTATGGGATGACCGATGTGAGAAGGGATTCCTTGAACTGGAGAAGAGATTGACCGAGGCACCGGTACTCATACTACCCAAACAGGGTGTGGGGTACGATGTGTACAGCGACGCAAGCATCCAAGGGCTTGGATGTGTCTTGATGCAGAATGGGAGGGTGATTGCCTATGCTTCACGACAGTTGAAGAAGCATGAGGTAAATTATCCCACTCATGACTTAGAGCTGGGGGCGGTGGTGTTCGCATTGAAGATTTGGAGACATTATCTCTACGGGGAAACATGTCATATATACACCGACCACAAAAGCCTGAAGTACGTGTTTACTCAGAAAGAGTTAAACATGAGACAGAGACGGTGGATGGAGTTGATAAAAGACTACCATCTAGTTATCGAGTACCACCCCGGTAAAGCCAACGTGGTAGCGGATGCCTTGAGCCGAAAGAATTCATCTGGGCATTATTGACTAGCTTGAGGGCATTGAGAGCCCAATTGGAGGTATCTAGCGATGGTGCCTTGTTAGCTAGATTCGAGGTAAGACCTACATTACTTGATGAAATCAAGAAGGGTCAAGAAACCGACGAAGAACTTATGAAGGTCCGTGAACGCATGCTAGCGGGACCGGTTGAGGATTTCAGGGAGAGAGACGATGGTCTCTTATTATTTCGTGACCGAGTGTGTGTACCGTTGGATGATAGCTCCGAAAGTCCATCTTAGAGGAGGCTCATTCATCGGCGTATGCCATGCACCCGGGAGGCACGAAGATGTACCGTGATTTGAAGGAAAGTTACTGGTGGTCGGGTATGAAGAGGGAAATAGCCGAGTACATCAGTAGGTGTCTTACTTGTCAGCAAGTTAAGGCAGAACATCAGCATCCGGCTGGGTTACTACAGCCACTTTCCATTCCTGAATGGAAGTGGGAGCACGTGACTATGGATTTCGTGGTGGGGCTGCCACGGACGATTAAGAATTATGACGCCGTATGGGTCGTGGTTGATAGGCTCACGAAGAGTGCACACTTTTTACCTATCAACACCACCTATGCACTGGAAAGGTTAGCCAAGTTGTATGTGGATGAGATCGTGAGGCTACATGGGGTTCCCATAACCATTGTATCCGATAGAGATCCGCGATTCACATCACGATTTTGGCCGAAGTTCCAAGAATCTATGGGGACAAAACTGAAATTCGGTACAGCTTTTCATCCGCAAACGGATGGACAATCCGAGCGGGTTATACAGATATTAGAGGATATGCTGAGAGCTTGTGCATTGGAGTTCCAAGGGAGTTGGGACAACCATCTGGCACTTGTGGAGTTTGCCTATAACAACAGTTATCAGGCGAGTATAGGCATGCCTCCATATGAGGCATTGTATGTGAGGAGATGTCGTACACCTTTGTGTTGGGACGAGGTTGGCATGGCCAAACTCGAGAGCACGGAACTGGTGGAAATCACCAAGTCAAAGGTAAAAATGATTCGTGACAGACTTAAGGCGGCACAGGATAGACAGAAGAGTTATGCCGATAAGCGCCGAAGAGCCTTAGAGTTTAAGGTTGGGGATGAGGTATTTTTGAAAGTTTCACCTTGGAAAGGAATCATCCGATTTCAGAGCCGAGGGAAACTCAACCCACGCTACATAGGGCCATTTGTAATTCTTGAGAGAACTGGGGCCGTAGCATACCGATTGCAGTTGACTCCGAAATTGGAGAAAATACATAATGTATTTCATGTGTCTATGCTTAAGAAGTATATTCCGGATCCATCTCATGTAATAGAGAAACCACCCGTGGAAATACGGGAAGACCTGAACTACGCCGTGCAACCGGTAAAGATACTTGATAGGCAAGTAAAGAAACTAAGAAGAAAGAAAGTTCCAATGGTTAAAATCCATTAGAAAAGTGACCGAGTTGAAGAAGAAACTTGGGAGACTGAAGCCTCGATGAAGGAGCAGTATGCATTGCTGTTTGAATAATCGATTGTGAATTTCGGGGACGAAATTCCCGTTAAGGGGGGGGTGAACTTGTAGCACCGTCCCCAAGCATATTTACTTTTAGTAAATTATGTAATAAACCTTGAAAGATGATTTATGAATTTACGTAATTGTTAAATTTTGTTATTTCTTTTACGTGAATAGAAAATTGCATGTGGGGCCCACAACGGGAGCGGGGGCCGCCCGATAATTTCCGAACCACATGTTATATTCATCTTGGTCTAGATGACATCTATATGGTGGTAGATATTTTAATTGGGCCATAAGAAGGGCATGGAGTTGACCGGTGGGTCAAACGGGGCCCAATTACCGGCATTGGCAAATTAATGGATAACAGCCCGAAATGAGTTTCGGAAGCTCCTAAATTAATGTTTGGGAATGTATATCTATTCTAAAGGCCCATAATTATTGGAAACGCGTGATATATTTTATCCGGCCCGATAAAATAAAATATGACTAAAACAGTCCAAAAAATACAACTTTCGGGGCCGATTATACACATCGGGGCATAAGGGGATGACCTCCCACATGAGTGGGGGCCACCCCACGACCCAATGTGCTGCAAATGACAAGGAAGCAGCTGGAGGGGGTGTACCTAGTAGGTGGGAAGTCTCCAAGAGACAAAACCCATACCCACCATTACCCTACTCCCTTATTTTGTGGGTTGACTTAGGTGGATGGTGTTAATCACTCATCCTAGCATCTCCTCAACCATCCACTCGGCCAAGGCAAAGAGAGAAGCTCTAGGGAAGCCTCCTCTCATAGTCCAAGCAGCAAGGAAGAGAATCCAAAGAGAAGAGGGTTGTTTTTGAGGTAAGAACTCAATAAACAATCTTTAACTAGTTTTATTATTGTATGATTTTTAAGAAATCATATGGTGGATTAAACCATGAGTTCTACACGTTTAAAAGTGTAGAATATTGATATAAAGTGGTGGTAATTAACTTAGGAGGGTTGGCAAATCGATAGGAGTCGAAATCGCCGGAAACCGCCACTTCAAAGGAGCTAGTCGCAGTTGCAGACCACGAAAGCCGCCCGGCTTTCGTGAAAGCCGCCCGGCTTTTGCCCAGGCAGTCCAGTTTTGCCTTTCAATCGGCTTAGAACGGGGATTGATCGAGGGGCGTAACAAAGGCAACTATTGTAGCACATCACGAGGTGAGGATGGCTGACTATATTGCTTATAATTAGTGAGTTAATTTCATAAGAATGCCTAAAGTAATTAGATGGGATTTTCATGGATTATTAATGACTAATAATGCCTAAATGAAAATAATATGGAAATGAGTAAGTGAAGCATGATATACAAATTTAGAATAATTGTGTATGATTATGCGAAATGAATGGAACGGCATGTTAATGGAATTACTATGATGACATCGTGATAAAATATACTTTACTACATGTATGAAATTCATGAATGGATTAAAGTGATATTTTTGATATTGAGATCAACTATACTTGGGTTGAGAAATCAATGGAAATGAAATGCAAATTGGGAAATAGGAACTTGGCATGTTCTAAGGTTATCCAATTAGTATCAAAATACTAGTCGTGGAAGTAATATAAATAAATGATGAAACAAATCCTAAGAGGTAGGATTGTGAATAGATATGCCTTAAGTAGTCTCAAGAGATACTTAAGGATGAATGGTATGAACACTAAGGTGTGATAGGGGTAGGCCTAAAGGCCACCTACGGGAATTGATTCTAGGCATAGGACTTGCTTGAGAATTTGATTATGAGAATAATTAGAGTTGGACTCTAGGATGACATGGAGATGTAGTTGGGCCGAGCCCATGCCATGTAATATGATTAGCATGGAAACGTAGTTGGGCCGAGCCCTTGCCATGTATATGTGACCTCCGTGGAAACGTAGTTGGGCCGAGCCCTTGCCACGAAGTTATGGTTGGTATGGAAACGTAGTTGGGCCGAGCCCTTGCCATACAAATTTTGATATGATATATTGAGCTAGAGGATTGTATAGAGATGTAGTTGGGCCGAGCCCATGCTATACAATTGGGGCTCGATGGGACCCCACGGGGTTATCGTGACTTGCGGTCACGGGGGAATGGAAAAGATGAATTCTAAATGAGTATGGGCCTACGGGCCGACTACTTGACTTTATGTAAAGTAAGTACAGTTAAAAGTAAAAAGGGTAACCGAGGGTTATGGCCTATAATATAATAGTACCCTAAGTTGAGGGTCTTGGAAATTAAAACGTTGATTATACTTAGTATAGTTGCTATTGTACTTGTCAAATATTTCCAAGTACTGACCTCCCCTTCACGGGGGAGGCCACCTCACAGTTTCAGGTAGAACTTGAAGGTTGCTACCGGTGCCCGTTGCTCGGGATATTCAGAGGAGAAGACGTGGTTCGTGCTTCTTCTGTTTTTCTGATTTCAAAACAATCATAATAATGCTCATGGATATTAGTTTGAATAACTCTTTGGGGCTTGCATGCCCATGGTTGCCAAAGTGTGGCTAAGACATTTATATTAAATGCTTCCGCTGTTTTAAATGAATGATTTACATTATGTTTGTTTATGGATGTACTATGTGTGAATGATATTCATGACGCCTTGTATAGTATGGATGAGTTGGACTGCGGTTGACTATTCGTACTGTACGGCGGGTTGTTGACGTGTCCGGCTAGGTCCGGGGCGTGACAACTTCATAGTAGCGTTGCGTGATCGCTTCTATCAAGATCACGTGAAAGAGGCCAATTATGACGAATTTGTCAACTTTAAACAAGGTGACCTGACTGTTCAGGAGTACCACACGAAGTTCGTTCAACTGGCTCGTTTTGCCAAGGACCTGGTGTCAACCGAGGCCAGTATGACCCGTAGGTTTGTTAAAGGGCTTAACTACAAGGCCCAAAAGTTCGTGACTGTAGCGGAGCCGCGGAACTTGAACGAGGCTTATAGGAAGACTGGTAAGTACTATTTGGTACACCAGGAGGAAAGAGAGGCGCAGAAGAGAGACCGGAAGAATGCTGAGGTAGAGCAGCAGCAAAAGAAGGCCCGAACTGGCCGCCCTGAGCCCCAGCAAAACAATCAAGGCGGGAGAATATTCCAAGGCCAGGGTCAGGGGAGAAACCAGCCTAACCAGACACGGTATTACAAGTGCAAACTTTGCCCGAACAACCATCCTGGAGCAGATTGTAAGGGTAATCCGGTGAAATGCTACAATTGTAACCTCATGGGGCATAGGGCATACGAATGTCGAAAACCCCGGAGTCAGGGCCAGAACCAGGGGAACAACCAACCCGGGGGTGGAAGTAATCAAGTTAACAACAACCGTGGTAACCCCGGTAACCGCCCAGCAGAGGCCAACCGTAATCAAGGCCAGGGAGGGCAGAACAACACCCAGGGCCGCATTTACGTCATAAACCAGGCTCAAGCAAATGCCCACGACGTGGTGTCAGGTACCTTTCTTGTGAACTCCATACCTGCTCATGTATTGTTTGATTCGGGTGCGTCCCACAGTTTTATAGCCTCAAAACTTGTGGAAAAGTTAAAGTTAGAACCTACCACTAGACTTAATCTTAATGTAAAAACGGCATCCAACAAAGTTGTAGCATGTGGAAGTGTTTTCTCTAATATTTCCATAGTCATATCTGATACCGAACTACCCGGAGATCTAATCCAGTTTGACTTGGAGGATATCGACGTGGTGTTGGGTATGGACTGGCTAGGGAAATATAAAGCCAAAATCTTGTGTGATGAGCAAAAGGTGGTCTTGAGAGGACCCAACAAGAAGCGTGTATCCTACAAGGCGGTTACATCTAAGCCAGGTGTGAAGCTGGCAACCATGCAACAAGTCAAACGATACGTCCGAAAGGGGTATGAAGTTTACTTGTGCATGATCAAAGACTTAACATCTGAGAATCCAACCATTGACCAAATCCCTGTAGTCAATGAATTTCCGTATGTATTTCCGGAAGAAATTCCAGGGATGCCACCGGAGAGGGAAGTTGAGTTTTCGATTGATCTAGTGTCGGGCACCGCACCCATTTCGAAGGCACCATACCGAATGGCACTGAAGGAGATGCAGGAGCTGAAGGAACAACTCGAAGAACTACTGGGAAAGGGCTACATCAAACCGAGTGTCTCACCTTGGGGCGCTCCGGTCTTGTTTGTAAAGAAGAAGGATGGGAGCCTGAGGCTCTGCATCGATTATAGAGAATTAAACAAAGCAACGGTCAAGAACAAATATATGTTGCCTCGCATTGATGACCTCTTTGATCAACTGAAGGGGGCTAGCACGTTCTCCAAAGTTGATCTGAGATCCGGGTACCATCAAGTGAGGATTGTTGAGAAAGACACTCCGAAGACGGCTTTTCGAACGAGGTACGGACACTATGAGTTCACCGTGATGCCGTTCGGCCTAACAAATGCGCCTGCTGTATTTATGGACCTCATGAACCGTGTGTTCCGACCCTACCTCGACTTGTTTACTATTGTATTCATTGACGACATCCTAGTGTACTCTAAGACAACAAAAGAGCACGAACAACATCTGAGGACAATACTGCAAACTTTGAGAGAGAATCAGCTCTATGCCAAACTCTCAAAATGTGAATTCTGGAAGGATCGGGTAGCATTCTTGGGCCACATCATCACCCAAGAAGGTGTATCCGTGGATCCATCAAAGATCGAAGCAGTGGTAGACTGGCCTGCACCCACAAACGTGACGGAGGTCCGGAGCTTTCTAGGCTTGGCAGGCTATTATCGCAGATTCGTGAAGGATTTCTCAAAGATAGCAAAACCTTTGACTAACCTCACGAAGAAGACCACGAAATTCATATGGGATGAGGAATGCAAGAAGGCTTTCCAGGAGCTTAAGCAAAGATTAACAACCGCACCTATCTTAACCCTACCATCCGGTACTGAGGGGTTCGAGGTTTACATCGATGCTTGTTTGAAAGGGTTGGGTTGTGTATTGATGCAAAATGGCAAAGTGGTGGCCTATGCATCAAGACAATTGAAGACCCACGAGGTAAACTACCCGACTCATGACTTGGAACTGGCAGCGGTTATCTTCGCCTTAAAGCTATGGAGGCACTATCTATATGGGGTACAATGCAAAATTTACACCGATCATAAGAGCCTAAAGTACATCTTCACCCAAAAGGAGCTTAACATGAGACAAAGACGTTGGCTAGAACTCGTCAAGGACTACGACTTGGAGATTCAGTACCATGAAGGGAAAGCAAACGTAGTTGCCGATGCGTTGAGCCGAAAATCAACCCACTCCTGCAGGGCAACATGGATACTACCTAATGAGCTATATCAGGACTTCCAGAAGCTAGACTTGGAAGTGCGGAATTTCGGAGAGGTAGATCGGGAAACACGGTTACTCACCATGACCGTTACCCCATCTATTTTCGATGAAATTAGAGAAGGGCAGCCTGGAGACATAAAACTAGACAGAATCCGAGCAGGTATGACAAATGGCGTAAATGGACCGTTCAAAATGCACGAAGACGGGAGCATTCGATACAAAGGAAGGTGGTGTGTCCCAATGAAATGTGAAGAATTTAAGAAGAAAGTTATGGAGGAAGGGCACAATACGCCTTACTCGGTGCACCCTGGAGGTGACAAACTCTACAAAGACATCAAAAAGAACTTTTGGTGGCCAAGGATGAAGAAAGAGGTAGCTGAATTCGTGGCCCGATGCTTGAACTGCCAGAAGGTGAAAGCCGAACGTTGCAAGCCCAAGGGACTCGTACAACCTTTGGAAGTGCCAAAATGGAAATGGGATTCTATCTCCATGGACTTTGTTGGGGGCTTACCCCTAACCAAGTCTGGCAAAGACAAGGTCTGGGTTATAGTTGATCCATTAACAAAGACCGCTCGCTTTATCCCGATGAACGAGACATGGAGCATGGAGAAGTTAGCTCGAGCTTACATCGAGCACGTAGTTAAATACCATGGAGTTCCACAAGACATTGTTTCTGACCGTGATTCTAGATTCCTATCTCAATTCTGGAAGGAATTGCAAGCTGCTCTGGGGACGAAACTGAAGCTGAGTACAGCCTTTCACCCAACCACTGATGGACAAACTGAACGAACAATCCAAACACTCGAGGACATGCTGAGAGCATGTATGCTAGACCTACAAGGGTCATGGGATGAGCACTTAGACTTAATAGAGTTTTCGTATAACAATAGCTACCACGCCAGTATCAAGATGGCCCCGTACGAAGCTTTATATGGTCAAAAATGTAGAAGTCCGCTATGCTGGAGCGACTTGACAGACAAGGTGGTGCTAGGACCCGAGTACCTACATGACACCATAGAAAAGGTGAAGCTGATCCAAGCCAAGATGAAAGCTGCACAAGATCGTCAGAAGTCTTATGCAGACCTGGGGAGAAAGTCAGCCGAATTCAAAGTGGGAGAAAAAGTCCTACTCAAAGTCTCCCCAACGAAGGGAGTAATGAGATTCGGAAAGAAGGGAAAGCTAAGCCCGAGATTCATCGGCCCTTATGATATCCTCGAGCGAGTGGGACGATTAGCGTACCGTTTAGCTTTACCCATGGAGTTGGCTAAGGTAAAACACACCTTAAAACCTCTCGTTGGTAAATATAATAGTAAGTGCCTCTCAAATACTAACGTATGATGTACTTAGGTACACAACGTTTTCCATATTTCACAATTGAAGAAGTATGTCCACAACGAATCACATATCCTTAACCCTGAGGTAACAAATTGTAACCTTACGAAATTTGAAATCAAATTCAACATGTCTAACCACGACTCAATTAGGTGGTCGAGTTGGACGAAACATTGACTTATGAGGAAAGGCATGTCCAGATCCTTGACACCAAAACACGTGAGACTAGGAAGAAGACTATTAAGATGGTTAAAGTATTATGGTCCAACCATCTTGCCGAGAACGCCACTTGGGAGACCGAAGATGACATACGAAAACAATATCCGGAGTTATTTGACTAAGGTAATATTTTGGTTACGGGGACGTAACCTTGTTTTTAGAGGGGTAGAATGTAACACTCCTAAATTTAATAAAAAGAATTTAATATTAAGTAACATGTGATACCTGCTAAATATTTTCTTAGCTTATGCTTCGGGGCGAATCATCTTTGAAGGAGGGTAGAGTGTGATACCCCGAAAAATTTAACATAAAAATAAAATAAAATAAAAGACATCAGATAAAGTGAAGCAAATAAAAATGAACATTAACTAAAGTTTCATAAATGATGTTTTGTGACAAGTGATAATTATACATATGACATAAATAATAGAAATGGCGCTTTAAGAATTTTAAGTCTAAAGGTATCGATTATTATTAACATACAAACGTACACTATAAAACTAATAAAAATGATATATAGACTTTAGAGAGCTAGTGTATACTCGGTATATACAAATACACACATATATAATAACAATAATGGAGATATAATTCATCTAACATGATTGATTGAAATATAATAAAGTACATAAACATAAGAGTAGTATACATATAGGAACACGTAATATATAATGCACAGGAACAGACTAAATAATCTAACAACTAAATAATAATACTACTACAAAACAAATAACAATAATAATGTAATAGTACTGATTGGCCGCCCAAACTATCCTGCCATTAAAGAATTGCATGTAAACAAATTAGAGAACTATTAAGCAGCAGTACAACGTCGGCCGGTCATACTCCTACTTGTCATATAATCGGCTAATCATGCGTCAGAGTACCGAGAAGTTTCAGCTGAGAAGTATAAATAGCGACGATGGGTTAAGAGACTCTGCACACAAACTACTTGTGTATGTTTATATATACTTATACTTCGTATATAAATATACTCCCCGTACGTATATAATTATATATTCGGTGGCAAGTATATACACCCAAACTAGAGCTAAAAACATCGCAAACGTAGTCTCTGAGAGTAGGGGAGAAGAAATACGTAGTTGTTGAGAGGAAAGAAGATCACCGGAGGAAGAAAAAGCTCGCCGGAGTTCGCCGGACTGTTCTATTTCACGCCCAAGGAGCAACGATGTTCTGCCCAGTGCCCACCCTCACGACCTGAGTTGCTGGAGAGTAGAAGGAGTGATTGAGGATCACTGACACCAGGAAAAGAACACCGCCGGAGCCGCTACCAGTCTACCAACCACGACGCACGTTTGTTCCACGAAGAAGAAGCACAGTACGTGGTTTTTGCATTCTTCCGTTTTGGTCTTTTGCTGTTTTAAACAGAAATTGGGCTGGGTTTATTATTTAATACTTGGGCTGTTTAAATTAAGAATTGGGCCTCCGAATTTAGTAATAAAATAACTAGAATAGTCGATATGAGCCGTCTAATTTAGGCTGTAGATTATTAATAACAGTAATGATATTAATAATAACTATAACAAAAGTAAAAATATATATATATATATATATAACGATAGCAGTAATAGTAATATAAAAAAATGTAGTGTTAATAAGGATAATGATAATTGGGTTTGAAGAATCTTTAATACGGAGTATAAGTTATAGTGGATAATATTCTCTCTTAGTAAATTTATCATTTTTTTTAGAAAGGATAACTAGTTATATACAGAATTTATAAAAGAAAAAAACTAATAATGGAAAGGTTATATATAAACTAACCAAATTTTGTAATCGGGCCTTTTATAATTATTTAGTATGACTATTTGGATACCTTAATTTAGATTAGAAATTAATTATTAATAAGGATCTAACAAACACCAGATGGGCCGATTAAACTAATTAATGAAATTAGTAAAATAACTAATAGTGGCTTATTTGACTCGATAGTAATATTATAATTTAAGGGTCATTGAATTATAACTTGATCATTAGATTAATTATAAAAATTGAATGTCTAAATTATTCTTTTAGTGGCACTAGATTAAACGAAATTAATAGTGATTGATAAATCTTGATTTTGTAAAAAAAAGAATTTTTAGGCTAGAAATTCAAATTAAAATAGTATGTGATTAAAAACGAAAAATTAAATTAAATTAAGTGAATTATTATAACTCCATTAATTAATTTAGATAAAATAATGAAAATGGATTAAGTTACTTAATAAAAAGTCTACTTATTAATCTTAAGTTTAATAACAAGGTAGGAAATGGAGTAGATTAATAAGAATACAATAATTATTAATCTTAGAACTTTACGTTATTAAAGGTGACTTTGAAGAGGATCAAGATTTAGTTACAAGTAAAGATTCCTGAAAATTAAGGTAAGTTTCTCTGCCAATCCAAAATTGTTTCCTCGTATTATATGCTTATTATGCATTACGTGATTAAGTGTGAATTTTGAATTATGTGTATGAGATTTTGAGGAATACAAATTAAGAGTACTTTTTGGGGTATTAAATATTTTTTAATACCTTTGCGATTACTTAGAGAGATTGCGGAATATTTTTAGAAGTATATCTAAAGCCAAGATAAAATTTACGTTTTCATAAGAGGTGAGCACCGCGGGAGAAATCCGCGGTGTCGGTTTTCCACATCCGGATAAATGTGGAGGGTGATTAGAGGTACTACTACTAAGAAGTACAGTTTGAGTTTCAAGTGACATTTGGATCTACGATCTATCCCTTTTAAGAAGAAGTTATAGTAGTAGTCCCTAATCATTCAAGAATTTTAAAGGTGGGGTAGTTGGTAGACTGAGTCCCGACTACTCGGGACGACTTACTACTCGGAGGGCTTGGAATCCCTTTTTGGGGGTGTGCACACTTAAGGTAGTCGTTTCGTTTCCATTAGCAGTTGTGGTACCGGCAAAAGTCCCGGGGTGGCCGTACATAATAACGTAACCACCGGGCTCAACCAGAGTGTTGAGCACCGCCCTTCTAAATTACTAGAAAGATAGAGAAGAGGTGAATTTTGAGAAATCCTAAGAGAAGAGTTACTATTGTATTTTCAAAGAAAAGTTGAGGACTTTAGTAAAGAAGTGATTTTGATAAGAAAATTAAAGAGAAAAGTATTTCGGTGGAGTGAGTTATTTTTTTATATAATAATATATAAAAATCTATTTTAGTCAAACCTGATTATTTTACGGGGTTGGGTAGTACTTACTTAGCTCTAAAGCTAATTTTTGCTTCCTTTTCTTTGTTTTGTTTTCTGCACTTTACTTGTGCAGGTAATGATGTCTATGTTGATTGATGATTGCATGCGCCCGAGAGCGGTTAAGAGATGCCTTAGTAAAACTTAGACAAGAATAAACATTTTAGTTATGTCGAATATTTGTTTTACTTTGTTTTATTTCGGGATTGCCTGTGCATCCGGTTAAGAGATGACCGGATGTGGCGGTAACACCCGTTTCCCTGTTAATGTTATTTCCGTTGCCAAACTTTTTACTTTAGTTTGAATGAATAAAGTAAGTTTATTATTATTAAATCATCATTTCAAGTATTATTTTGGGAGGGAAATTTGGGGGTGTTACATTATCAATCTCAATCATTTTCATCTTAAGTTTATTGCTACCATCGGGTTAATATACGGTGCGTGTTTTATATTGACTCGGTATTATGTTTTATTAATGAACGTGTCTCGTTATTAATAACTACCCTCGATGAACTGGATATACTCCTCGATTGAGTATTCGAGAGGAAGATAGTTAAAGATATAACCGGGATCGATGAACATTTCATCAGGTGGATAAAAGCAAAACCAAGTCCCCATCTCTATTAATTAAACTCATATAGGTTATTCATCTTAGTATTATTAAATCAAATCAAAAACCCCCCTTGTTACTAGTTACGTAAAAGAAAAGTATTCTTTTCCCTGTGGATACGAACCTTACTTCATTATACTATGTATAATTGTTGTATTGATATTTATTTTGAGTGCACACCACGACAAAGTGCACGTCAAACTGTCTCCTTCTTCTCAACATCTTTCAGTGTCTGATCTTAAACAAACACAACATCTCGGCTTCGAATAAGTTTCTTGTGCACTGGATCATATAATCTGTAACCAAACTCATCTTGGCCATAACCCAAGAAAACACATGGTTTGGACTTCACATCAAGCTTTGATCTTTCATCCTTAGGAATGTGCACAAAAGCTTTGCATCCAAAGACCCTTAAGTGACGGTAAGAAACATCTTTGCCGCTCCAAACCCTGTCAGGTACATCAAAAGACAAAGGAACACAAGGAGTTAGATTAATAACATGTACCGCTGTATTCAAAGCTTCTCCCGGAATGAACTTGGCAGCCCTGCATGTGACAACAAACATCTGACACGCTCCATCCGTTCAACTGTGGTGTCTTGGGAGGACTCGTTTGATGTCGAATACCATGATCTCTATAATAAGCATCAAATGGGCCAATGTATTCACCTCCATTATTTGTCTGAATACACTTGAGCTTCTTTCCAGTCTGTCTCTCATCCGAGGCATGAAACTGCTTAAACACTTCAAATACTTGATCTTTAGATTTCAAGGTATAAACCCATACCTTTTTGGAGTGATCATAAATGAATGTGACAAAGTAGGAGCAGCCACCAAGTGTCCTAGTCTTCATAGGACCACAAACATCAGAATGTACCAGATCAAGTATAATTTTGTTTCATGGAAGGAGGATGGATCTTAAAGGAAACCCTATTCTGTTTACCTTCCAAACAGTGAGAACACTCCATTAGATGAATATCATTCACACCCGGTAACACATTTCTCTTCAACAAAAGAGACATCCCCTTTTCACTCATGTGACCAAGTCTCTTATGCCATAAATCAGTCATGTGAGTATTCACCACAACATTGACCCTATCCTTGAAGATCTTCAGATGTGTTATGTACAACTTTGAGCATCTTTTACCTCTAGCCACGATCAAAGAACCACGAGTGAGTTTCCATATTCCATTACCAAAGTTGTTGTTGTAACCATCATCATCAAATAAGCCCGCACAGATCAAATTAAGTCTCATGCCTGAAACATGTTTTACATTATGTAAAACCAACTCTATCCCAGTGTCAAACTTCAAACAAATATCTCTGATGCCTGCAATCTTTGATAGTCCATTATTACCCATCCTAACATTTCCAAAGTTACTTGGAGTGTAAGATGAATAAGAATCCCTCTGTGATGTTACATGATGATAGTCCCAGAACGATACAAACAACAATCATAACAGGTTTAAAGAAGCAGATAAAAAGATATGGAGAAGATTCAAACCAAATCTGGTATACCGTATGAAACCCCGCTGCTCTCCCTGGAGAAGGAGAGCAGCGGAAACCCTACTCTCTCTCTCTCTCTATCTCGCCTCTGTGTCTCTCAAAGCCTCGAACGTTTGTTAGTTAGGGTTCCCGTAAGTTAGCCTCCTTTTATAGGAGAAGTTGGCTAACTTACGGGTTACAAGGAAGCTAACGGGCTGATACATATTTGTGGCCCGTATTACACGTTTAATTAATAACTACACAAATACAAAGATATTTAATTAGATTGGACACCATAAAATATTCCTAACCATCTCCCCCTTGGTGTTCAATTATGTTGAATCATCATTGCAGCGCGGATATCTTTGTCTTTGTTGTTATTTAGCTTCCTTTGTCTTTGAACTTGACTTCTGAGGAAGGCTTTCTGAAAAAGTCTTTGCAATCTCCCCTTTGATGTCTTCTTGGCAATTTAATCTTTGATGCCGGGGGTTGAGGGATCTTCAGTATCTTGCATGTAGTCCTTGCCTTCCATAAGTTGCTCTTGATCAGCTTGGATGAAGTACGGTGACGCCTCTAGAATGAATGTTCTTTAAAGAATAGGGCACGCGCAGAGGATTCATCTTCACTACATGAGTATTTGACCTCTGTCTCCTCCAAAATGTAGTCTTTTTGACTGTTTCGAATGAATGCATTTGAGGAGAACTTGTCGGTTGCACAGCGGAATTAAATGATGGTTGACTTGTGAGCGTAGCTGACCATTTGAGTTGCGGAGATAGTAGAGAGAGTGTTGGAGGAGAGATGTGTCCCAGAATGATTTTTTTTACAATTAACAGCATGTGGACCACTCTCCCCCTCATGACGATCCGATGAATCGGGGCGTCATGCTTTTATTCTTTTATTCTACAGAAATAAAACATGAAAAACAAGCAGAATGTAAAGAAGATAATGTATCCCCCGGGGTTGTGAAGACACCCGTTATCATCACTATAGAGATAAACTCTAAAGCGATGGCCTGAAAATGTTGGTGATTCTTATGTTGCAACAGCAGGACTTCCTTCCAATCATTGGTCTACATCTATAATAGATGAGCCCTATGGAAGTTCTCGCAAGTCTTGAGGACTAGCAACTGACTCTAAAATGTGTCTGTGTCCTAGAAAATTTCAAAACATTTGGGAGTGAGTAACTAGACACGACGTGATCAATGAAAGTTCAGTGGCATGGGGCTAAGGCCACTATAGTCAGTATTACTTGCCTCAGAAGGAGACAGTAATGAGAGACACGGTTCCCCGTGAAATATGATTAAACACCTGTCTGTTGGGAGACAAGTGAGTGGTCTTGGGTAGGGTTGTGCATGCACCGTTTGGACAAAATGCAGCGACTTCTACCCGGGATCTGAATAAATTCAGTCCTGAACCTATGGGGATAGTCCAGAGTATTTGAGTGGCTAGGAGTAAATGTTCAATGGATATTAGGCAGTTGAGGTAGCAGACTTATCAGTGATAATTGTTTCCTTGCTTACTTGAGCCTTCTGCTTCCAAATGCTCATAATGTTCACTCACTCACTTGGTCACTCACTCACTTACGCTCGGCTTTGTCCTTTGGGTAGGCTTAGTTGGGTTTACTAAGCCATAGGGACATGTTCTCTCATTACTTTCTTCATTTTCTCTCTATACTCCCCCTCAACTGGAGCACTCGGTATGCTTTGTCATTGTGAGGCACCGGGGAGGATAGCATTGAACACTCCCCCTAACATGTTGCATCTGTTGAGAGATTCCTCGCTTTGTCGGTGTAAGGCGCCAGGAGGAGAAAACTGAAACTCCCCCTCAGAATGTGCAAGGTTTGATTGCTCACAGCTCGTCATTCCCCCATGTGTGTGGAGCAATCTGAACAGGTACCACACATGACGGTTTCCCTAAGCTCATCATTTGGAGTTTTAGCATGTTTGAGGATCACACAATGATGATAGGTTAGGGGAGGCTTCAACAGTTGATTGTTAATTATTTTAAGATGACCGTTGACGCGAGATTGATTGAATTATCTATGATTTTCGGACCTCTACAGTGAAGTTTAGAAAATCTTTG